TGTCGTCTAATTAAGCTAGTATCATGGGTAATCTGAATAGCAGAATAGATCTAGCTAGTTAGCTTTAATTCTAATTTTACTTGTGTTGTTTATTTTGTACATCTTAGTTGATCAGGGACGAAACTTTTGATTAACTTTGTAAGATACTTTAGCTCACAAAGGAATAACAGAGGCAATTATTGTGGTATTATGTTGCAGACTTGTCATTTGAAATGTCTCTTATCGGATGATACTTTTACACCACAAAACACAAAATTTAATTTATTTAACACTACAAAGTAATAATGTTTTGATTATATTTATATTATTAAAGAGGTGTTGAGTTTAAGAAGATCCTCAAACAAATTTTTTTCACTCTTATTTACTTTACACAATAATACCATGAATTCCAAATAAATTTATACAATCACTTACATTCGTTGTTTTGTTCTTTTTCTTTTTAATTATAAAGATATGTTTTTGATAATTACATTATCCTTGAAAATAAGTTATCGAATAAATATATAATTATAAAAATATTAATTTTCAATGATAAAACATTTATGATAATTGAAAATTTAAAATAAAAAAATTATATTTTGATACCATCAATCCAATAAATTCTTATGTAATTTTACTTCGATAATATATATTAATATTAAAATTTTAATTTATAAATGAAATATACATTATTAAAATATTAGTATAATGAGTTGTTAAATAATTGTTTGTGTAAGACCTATGAAAAATATTTACCTTAATAGTAACAATTTTATTACTAGTAGTAATAAATTTTTCTTTATGAATGGAAAATATAATTAAGAAGTTTATGTAAAAATAAAACGTGGAAAGTTAAATAAGAAATTTTGGTAGCTTAAATGGTAGAAAATTGTGGTGATTTCAAGAACATGGGTTCAAACTCGGAACAACCTCTGGTCAAGAAACTAAGTCTGGAATAGAGGTAGGGAAACTAACCTTTCTAAGCTTTTATATTATGATTTAGTATAGAGGTCCTGGTCTATGTGCCGGTTTTGGACATAGTGTTGAGGACTAACCTTGTGGATGGTATGAAGTATTTTGGAAATGTATTTGTAAGAAGAAGTAGAAGTCATCACAAATGCATAACTTCTCGTGACCGCCCATCAACGTATCATCCGAATGAGTGTCTATTGGGTATTGTGGAATGAGTGTCTATTGGGTATTGTTGAATGAGTGTCTATTGGGTACTGTGGAATGAGTGTCTATTGGATATTGTGGAATATGAGTGTCTATTGGGTATTGTGGGATGAATGGCTATTAGGGATTGTGGTATGATGGGATGAGTGTCTATGGTGCGATTATTGTATGATGGTATGAGGGTGCGTGACATAATTATTATATGATGTTTGTTGAGTATATCAAAGTAATTATGCATGTTTTATAAATGATTTGTTGCATGTTAGCTCACCCTACTTGTTTGTGTTTGTATATGTGCGATGATCGTATAATTCGTTATACGGGAGCAGATGAAGGAATGTCGTCTGATTCAGTGCCAATGAAGAAAGAGATAGAAAAATAAATTAGAAGAATTCGAGTTATATATATATATATATATATATATATATATATCAACCTTATGAATGTCCAAATCTCCAAAAGGCTAACGTATTCCCCACTT